CCATCCACAACTCCGGTTGGCAACACCGCATCATCCACGACTCCGGCTGGCACCATCGCACCGTCCTCGACTCCTGTAGAAGTGGCGCCATCCCCAACTCCTGTCAGTGTTGTGCCGGGTCTGAACAAGGCGTGGCATGTTTCGTGGAGCTTCCTTACCGACGATGAAGATGACGAGGATGATGATGTGCTGGCCTCGCCGACTCCGCCGCCGGCTTCTAAATCCTCAGTTTCGGCAGCTCGGCCGGGCATGGCATGTGATGCGGATTCATGCAGTGGTTGGGAAAAGGTGCTGCCGCGATGCAACGTGCAATGCCCGGTGTCACTAGGCCCTGCACTGGCTCCCCGTCCTATCCCCGCTTGGCTTCATGGTAGATGTTGCAGATGCCTCTATCCTGGACACCGTGCAGCGGAGTGTTGAGATCCTTTTAGGTGTTCTCGATGCCTTGAGAATGGTCATCAAGCGTGTGGGTGCCGCAATGCCTGGTGTCCCCTCGGCTTTTTGGGAAGCCCTACTTTGTCGCCATTGCCCCGCCTCCCTGTCGGACACCAACAAGCTTCAGTTCCTCGTAAGGTCCAGAAAGATGTCGTGCCCCTCTCGAAGACGTTTGGTCATGATTCTTGGGCATCGATCGTTGTTGCTCCTGTTGGCTCTGTGGCCTCGGCGATATCCTAGTGCGGCCTGCCTTGGAGAGGCAGGCCGAGCTGTTGCGCTCTGAGCTCCTTGATATGGCTTCCTTCCGACTTGAGGAGACGGTCCAGCCTCTGCGTGATGTCGTTGACTCCATGCAAGGTTGGATGTTGCGGATGGAGAGCTTCATGGAGCGAGTTGAGGCTGCACTAGGAGGGCTCTCCTTGGCACCGCCTGTGTTGCAGAGTGCTCATGTGTTGCGCCCTTTGGTTGTGCCTGATGGCAGCTTCGAGGTTGAGAGGGGAGACGAGCTTCATGGTTGCTTCTCCCCTCGTGCTAGAGCCAGCTCGCCGTCGTCGGCCTATGAGGGTCTAGGCAATGATGTGGTTGTGACTCCGGTGCTGTAGATCATGCCTGAGCTTCAGGAGCTGTGTGGGGGCTCGGTTCTGCCTCTGTCCGTCGAACAACCGAAGGTAGACCCTCCTGAGATCTCAATTGTGGCTTTGTCGCCAGCATCACCCCTGGAGTCTAGCCAGATACTTGATGCTGAGGAGTGTGGTGATTTGGATGCTTCAATCTCTCGATCTCCTAAGTCCATTGGGTGTCAGGCGTCAACCAGTCTACCCTTTGGTGTCATGGAGCACGGAGTTTTGGATGTTGTTGATGTTCCCTCGTTTGCAACCATGGAGCAGGTGATGCCTGTGAGTGACATGACCATTGAGCCAAGTGTGTTGGCACCTACTCCAAATCTAGATGCTCTCTTTGCGAAGGAACTTTGTGACTTACTCGCCAGTGTGGAGGTTGGTAGACCTGGTTTGGGTAGGTCGATTGCTTGCCCCTTGACGGGGACACCAAAAAGGGCCAAACAAAAGAAGGTGGGCAAAGGAAAGAGTGGCGTCATGGGCAAGGCGTCTCTCTCTCGCTGCTTGATGGATGCCATTCGATCTCTCGGCCTATCCGTTTTGATTGGGTTGTTATTGTGGGTTGGGAGGTGCCTGATGTCTTGTGTCGAGTTGTTTTTGTCGGGGGTCTCTTGGCGTAGTAGCAATGTCGGGGTTTGTGGGTGTTGTGTATTCAGAAAGCCTGGGAGGGACCGCATGTGCTGTTGTGGGGTTTCTTGCCATGTGAGGAGTTAGTCTGTGCTTCATTTGTATTGGTTTTCGCCCGGTTTTCCGTAAAATAACTGGGCAATTCTCTTCTTCTTAATTAATCGACGAGGCAAAACTTTTGCCTCCGTTTTGAAAAAAAGAAAAGAACGAAACCTGGAACAATAGTTGTCATACTTGGGATAAACTGTTTATGTGAGGTATGAGACATGGAGAGAAAGTTAAAAAATGTCGAGTTCTTTTGTTGCTTCGGTGAGACGGAGCTAGTACAGACGATACCCTGGCGCACGCCCAAAGTTTAATGAGCCCAAGACACGTTACACGTCTAGGAGGAGGAGATGGAGATCCCCACGATAAATTTTGCTTGTGCCAGCCCAACCCCTCAAGAAAAGCTTGGAATAGTTTAGCGTTACCAGCGCAAGGAGGCAAGCGCTGCCTACATGATGCTATACTAGCAAAAGAGCCCGTGCGTTGCAATAGGAAAGAAAACATAACACACATTTTTAGCCCAACAACCATCACTCAAGACCACAATAGGTCTATCTTTTTTATTTTTGCGAGGCATCATATTTGTGTTGTCGCTTATCCTCCTTCTCACCCTCGCCGGCGATGGCCTCGGTGTTCACACAAAACAAAAAAAACATGTTTGAATATGTTTAATCCTAAGGCGTCTCTCCCTCCCTCCCTCCCTCCCTCTCTCTCTCGCTTTCTCTCACTCTCTCGATGAGAAATCTGTTGTTTTCCCTGCGACATTTTTTAGAGGTATGCATGTGTAGTTATTGATGTTTTCTTTTCCCTATATTGTTACAGTGGGGTGTTTATTTGCAATCCAGGTCGCCGCCGGTACGAAAGGAAAACGGATCTTACGCTATAAATTATAAGTTTGCTCCAAAAATAATATTTTAAAAATATTTAAAAGGTAAAATTAACATCATATTTAGTTTCCACATACTTTTCTAATAAAATTTCATATATAATATGTTAAAATAGAAGTTACGGTTTAAAAGATACAGATAATTTAGAAAATCATTTGTTTGACTTAAATATATTCTAAAATAATATTTATAAATACTTAATTGGTGAAAATAATCTCATATTCATATTCTACATGTTTTTCTAATCAAAGTTCATATATAACATGTTCAAATCGGAGTTACGGTTTAAAAGATATGGATGATTTAAAAAAACATTGTTTGACTTAAATATGATCCGCGGATGAATTACCTAAAACATCAGGGGGGTTTTCAGAAAATGTAAAATAACGGTTCGGGTGTGACTTAAATCCGGACTGCGGGTTGATTTCAACAAAACGCAGGGACTTTTGTGTAAACTATAAAAAAACGATCCGTTTTAACTTAAAAAGGGCTGCGGGTTGAATTCTCTGAAATAGAGGGACTTTTCTAAAAAATGCCATGACGGACGAAAGAAATCTAATTTGCTTTATTATTATATTAGGTAAAGATATGAGGCGCGTGGCAGTAACTCTAGGTGGTACCTCCAAACCCGATCGATCAGTACGCGGCTGAAGCTGGCTAGGTACCGTCTGATCGGCCGGCCCGGGAAGCCAAGTGAAACGACATGGCGAGCAGGCAAGAATCGTCAGTCACGGCGGCCGACTTGGACCCCGTGTACGAGTGGGTCGACGGCGACGGCAGCTATCTCCTCCGCCTCAACCTCCCAGGTACGTACGATACGCGTTCGTGATTCCTGCTGAGATGGATGAAATGGTGCTCCCCTGAACCCGAATTGTGCCTACTGAGTTGTCTGCCATTATGTTGATCAAGGGTTTAAGAAGGAGGAGTTCCGGGTGCACGTGGACCCCGCGGGCCGGCTCAACATCCTCGGCCACAAAACGGCGGATGGCGGAGCTGGGAACGTGCGGCTGCACAAGGTGTTTCAGCTCCATCCACATCCGACCTGGACGCAATCACCGGCCGGTACGACGCCAACGTGCTCACGCTCACCGTGCCCAAGCTGCCTTCCGCCCCGGCCGCCAACGACGTCGGCGACAAACCTGTTGGAACGGATGAGAAATCCAAGGTTATCCGGGAGGCGGAGCGGCTGATCCAGGCGGCGAGGGCAAGGTTGCAGCAGGGGAGGCACAAAGAGGAGAAAGTGGACGACAGGAAACAGGAGGCCGAGGCAACGACGCCGGCAGAAAAGGTGGTGAAAGCTCAGGACCACAACGACAAGCTTGAGTATGAGGCGGCGACGCAGAGGGACAAGAAAGGCTGCTGGAAGGAGGGGTTCACGTGGGCGGATGCCATAGGTCGTAAGAACAAGGAGGTGATCGCCGCCACCGCCGTCGCCGCCTTCACGCTAGGCGTCTTCGTCTCCCATAGGCTCTTCTCCAGAAACTGAAAATCATCATCATCTCTAAATGTGCTGCTGCCTGCGTCCACTTAATAACGATTACACAAGCGGATGTACTGAATAAATTCTCGTCAAGGAGTTTAATGATATACTATCACAAAATTGATAAACGCTCCTATATTTCTTTTTTTTATAAGGTGCAAGGCCACGAGGCTTGGGAAATTACACAATAGTTAACGACGGTGCCCAACAATTTCCATGTCCTTTCTAAGCTGCACAAGTTCCATTTGATAATGCAGTAAAAAAGAGTTTGTTTTGCCAACAAACCATTTGATATCTTGGGTGTACATTTTACATTGCCAACAAACTGCACAAATAGTGCCACCCACTACGAAAATAAACATCATTTATTTAGTTTACCGTACAACTGCGCCTTTTATTTTACTACAAAAACAAATAATGATACACTAGTCCAGGTCTAGCTTTTCAGCCGCATAGAAAGAGGAACAGGGGTAATAACAAATCATGAGCTTGTAAAGTGTGCAATCGATTGTGCCATCATCAAAGCAGACCTTTTGCACAACCATATGCACAGTAATAGGGGGCGATTAAAAGATCGGCACAACGCTGTCGTGGACCCTGTTCTTCTGGTTCTGGGCAACGCATTCCGAGATCCACATCAAGTTCCTTATCTCCTGCTCTCGTAGCCTCATGTATGCGAAGAAAACAGCGTAGTGGAACTGCACAAACAACAAGAGAACATCAGAGCTCCCACCTTAAATTCTAGAGTTCACCCGAAAAAAAAAAAAACTAGAGTTGAGGTCTGAAATAGTGGCACACAGAGCTCACAAGTTTTCTGAGACAATAAAACTCACCAACAGGCACTAGCACTTATGGCATTTTTTTAGAACTATCAGGCACTCACAAGTTGTTCAAATAGAGTTATGACTTAAGATGGATATATAGAATCATGTGCAAAGCCGTGGCTGGTTGGTTAGCGCATATTTTACAAGCATGTATGTATGCATCACGCTGGTATGCATCAGTAGTGCATGTGGCTGGGCGTGTCATAGGCTTTGACTAAATCAGCCTACCAATGGTTCTTGTTTACTGCTAATCTTTATTGAGTGTATAACCAGTGACCTTCTAGAGAACTTGCATGCATCCAGTGTACAATATCAGATCTCTTACATTTTGACCATCTGTTGTTATTCCTGTCAGATAGTTTATATGAAGTAACTTGTGTAAACATACATATAAGGTCAACAACAAAAATTGTACCTGCTGTTCAAATGACTGGCACAGCCTCTTTACTTCCTCCTCATAAAAGGCCTTGTCCAACATCTGGCTTTCGCCATATGATATCTTGGCAAAAATAGACTGGTATGGGGGGTACTTTTCCATTACACCACGCACCTGCGGGATGAGCACGAAAAAAGTATTGACGTCAGCCAGAATAATTCATGCGTGGGCACAGATCTCACTTTTATGAAGAAGACACTGGTCTGAATTCCAGTATAACTTAGATGCAATCCCTCTTGAAATACTACATGCTTGTTAAGATTTCCCTATGCTCTTTTTATCATCATCTCCACAACAACAAAACACACATTTAACTTTCAAGTGAGAACTTCCAAAATGTAGTAGCACACTCAAAACTACAATACATCCTAGTGAGCATAAATCAGAACAGGAAACCAGTCATCCTAACAAGAGACACCAGAGGGTAAGAAGCCAATAAAAGGACAATATATAAATGTGTTACTGTAAGCTAAAATGTTAGCTTGCCAAATGCTGATGATACACAAAGAAAGAAATAGATAGTCTGGCACATGCTTACAGGATAAGTATACCACATAGGGCAATTTTCAATTAAAAAAACACGTGATGTTAATCTTCGTGCGAGAAAAGAACCGTATGACAGAATGAGACCATGACTGCTGTAGGCCAAACAAAACATTCATACTGCAGCTGATATACAAGAGCAGCCAGTAAGCCGAGTTTGACTTATGCCCATCAAATGAAAAATGTATGCCACAAAAGCATCTCCAATGGAATACCATTCTTCTCAGATAAGCCAGGCACATAGGTCGATGCTGTGTCCCCTCACCCAGAATAAATTGGCCCTAATGGAAGCTCAGGAACACGAAAATTGCAGGCGAATTGATGGACACATAAAAGTGCTACACGTTTTTTGGCAATAATTATCAACACATAAAATAGACTGTTGCTACTA